GAGAAGCAACCTCTCTCCCTCCTCCATACACAGAGGGGCACTTGGACCTACATCTGTGTTGGGCACTTATGGCAGCGTCCCTTCCTGGTGGTTGTCCTCCGTTGACTCGTCTGCTTTCCAGGTTGCACACCCTGGTGGGCAGGGACCCTATCTGGTCTGCTCTGTGTCGGCACAGCACTCCGCACAGCTGTCCACGCAGCAGGAGCTCATGTGGTAAGTGAACCAGTGACTTTTTCTGTTTCCGTCTGTCCAGCAGATTCAGCAGAGGTGGTGCCGGCCTCCTAGTTCCCGCCCTCACTTCCATTCCCTCACATATGTATCCCAATTTAAAAGCAACTTCTAATACAACTTGAAAAAAACCTTAGAACTCAAGTCCAAGTCTCTTCAGACCAACTATCTCTAGGTCCAGAATCTAGTAGTGTCCCCTGAGGCTCCCTGTTGCTAGGAGGTGGACTAGAAAGCCCTGGGAGACTCCGGCCACTGTAACAGTTTGGGGCTCCGTGGTTCCCCTCTGCTGGTTTAACCAGCACTCACAAGACTCCTAACTGTTGTGGGGTTGGTGGGGGTGGGTATGGAGCAGCTATGAATTAAATATGGAGTCATTGGGCCGCCCTGTGGCCATTCCTGGGAACTGCATGTCTCCTGTGTGTCACCACAAACTTCCTCAGATCCCATCCATTTATGATGGCTCTAGCTGCTTTGGCTCAGAGGGTAGAGTGTCCGCCTGTGGACTGAAGGGTCCCGGGTATGATTCCGGTCAAGGGCACATGCCCGGGTTGCGTGTTTGGTCCCCAGTGGGGGACGTGCAGGAGGCAGTTGATCAATGATACTTTCTCATCATTGATGTTTCTATCTCTCCCTCCCTCATCCTTCCCCTCTGAAATCAATAAAAATATTTTTAAAAAGATAATTTATGGTAAACATAGCCACAAAACAATTAAATTCTCTTTCTAAACCCCCACTAAAATGAAGAAAAGGAATTTAAAAAGCATAAGATATGAAGACAAAACAGGCAAGAGACATCTGTGAGAATTAGCAACTATTGAACTAAATCTTTTTAAAATGGGAGTTGGAAAACAGAGCTGACTGTTGTAGGACAGAAGTTACAGCCTACATGTCTCAGAGGAGGATGCCAATAAAAAGGGAGCAAATTTTCCCCGCATCCCCAGGGTTCCAGGATTCAGAGGCACCGGTTGTCATGGGGAGGTCAGACATGTGGCAGGCAGTCGGTTACAAATGGGGTTGGGTAGGAAGTTTGTATAAAATAGTGGGAGCCCAGGTGTCCCTTCCTACCCCTTGCTGTCTGCAGAAATGGGATGACAGAGCCTCCAGGCTCAAGGACGCCAGGCATGGGGAAAGGTGGGGATGAGGCAAGGGACCAAAAACATGGAGTTCAGTGCAGTGGCATCTCGAGTGATGGCCTCCTCAGATTCATTCCTTCTCCCTTCCCTGGAGTTTTGGCAGCCAGGCATACGTACCCAGGTAAAAGGTTCGGAATGTCTCCTCTGGAGAACCTGGCATAAGAGAAAAGCCTCACAATACCACTGGCTGGAGTTTTACCAAATAAAAGGCCAGGTTGTTGCAGATTATTCTGTGTAGAAAGCCTTCAGTCATCAGGCAGATGAATACGCATAAAGCTTCCACTCTAACTAAAACATATTAAGTCAACCTAACATGTAGAAAAGTATAGAAAAACTAAGAAAAATCCACACACCTGACACCCAGATTTAGCAGATATTTGCATTCAGTCCGACCTTCAGTTCTTCACCTTAGAGCTGTGTGTTACAGCTGATGGGCCATGTGCTTTCACCTTAACATAAAAGAGAGAATAAAGCCCTAGTGGGTTTGGCTCAGTGGACAGAGCATCAGCCTGTGGACTGAAGGGTCCTGGGTTTGATTCTGGTCAAGGGCACATGCCTGGGTTGCAGGCTCAATCCCCAGTAGCGGGTGTGCAGGAGGCAGCCAACCAATGATTCTCCCTCATCATTGATGTTTCTATCTCTCCCTATCCCTTCCTCTCTGAAATCAAGGAAATGTCCCAGAAAGTAAAACACACAGACCAACAAAAGGAGCTGGAAAAGAGGAGGAATTGATAAGAAATGTAGAGGGCTAATCCAAAAGTCAAATTTTTTTGATTCACTAGAGGTCCGGAAAAAGAAAACAGAGAAGAAAGCGGAAGGAAGGTGACGATGGGAGAGAGAATATAAGGAAACCTCCCAGAATTGAGGAATACTGGTTTCCAGATTGAAGGGGCCTGGTCTGCGCCAACACACACACACACACCTGGCCTGTGCCAACGCACACAGAGAGAGAGAGAAAGAGAGAGAGAGGGAGTTCCTGCACCAAGGAATGCTATCATGGCATCTCAGAACTCCAGGGATAAAAGAAGAGATTAAAAAAATATTTTAAAGGCACCCAGGGGGACAACAATAGGTCACATACAAAGAATCATGAGCCTAAATGGTGTAAATTTTCTTAAAGTAATGCCGAGAGCTAGAAAACAATGGGGCAATAGCTTCAAAATTGTGAGTGGAAAGACTTTTCCCTGTAAAATTCTATTCTCCTTCAAATTACTTGTCAAGTAGGAAACGATGGATCCAGGTGAATGCTGTCTTCCCTTGCTCGCCTGCGCAGGAATCTATTAGCGGACATTCTCCGGCAACAGGGGAAAGGACTGTGAGGAAGAGGGAGGCCGGGGCCCCAGGAAACCAGCCCCGGAGGGCGTGCAGCTGGTCTAGGAAGTAACCAGTCTGGAGAGGAACTGGAAGCCGTGGCCTCCAGGAAAACAAGTGGGGGAGGTGGTGCTGATGTGTTACAGCTGATGGGCCATGTGCAAATAATGAGGACGCTTTTTTACCAGGTAGGGGGAAGGCTCTCTGAGAGCAGGGGTAAAACCTGCCTTGTTTCCCTCTGGGTCCCTCGGCCTACCTGTTCCTGGCACAGAGTAGGTGCCCGATAAGTAATGTTGAATGAGTGAGTGAATGAGTGACAGTTGATCAAGCTTCACATGTGTGCTTTCAGTCCGACAATAAGGCCGACCAGCTTCCCTTCCCCACTGCAGGCATCTGAAAATACAGGGTAAATATAAATTAAAGTGCATAGCCCAGTGCTCAAGAAAGCAAGGACAAATAGGTCCCTGAGAAACCACACTTCGGTGCTTTAATTTACAGACACCCAGCGATGCAACCCGACATGCCCAGGATCCCAGCGGATAGGGACTGAGCTGGGGCAGCCCAGCCGCTCTGCTCCCCATCAAGGCTGTTTCCTCCATCTCGGGCCTCTGCACCTGCAGCAGAACTAGCAAATGAGGTGCAGGCGTCGTGTGATGTGAAGCCCTTCGCTTTTTTAAACTGGCTATAGTATTAAAGAGGAAGTTGTTTCTGCAGGTAAATTTTTAGTGTTGACAAAACTGGGTAATTCTGAATGAAAATGCTTTCTACAGAAGTTGTTCCAAACCCCATTTAGAATAGAAGCGCTCTCTCTCTCTCTCTCTCTCTCTCTCTCTCTCTCATACACTATTACTGGGGAAGTCTCTTTTTAAGGGCACAGTATTTCACACACGAGTAGGAGAAACAACGGCTTGAAACAGGCTGAAATCTCTTTAATACCAAAAATAAAAGCACTCTCCCTTGATCCCAGACCCCCTCCTCCCCAGCTCCCACCTATTTCTCTGCTCCCTTTTACAGCAAACTCCCTGAAAGAGCTGTCTGTATTCGAATCTGCAATCCTTCCCCTGCATTCCCCCTTCCATCGGTTCAAATTAGGGCCTCACCCCACCACTGCGTCAGGAGAGCTCTTGCCAAGGTCAGAGTGGCGCTAAATGGGAGACGCTGGCTCACTGAATCCCTCTCCTTCCTAAAACATTTCCTTTCCTCCACCTGCCTTCCAGGAGACGGCTTTCTACCTACCTCACTCATCCTCCTGTCTTGCTGTGCCTTCTTCATCTTCTTGACCGCTAAGTGTTGCAGTGTCTCAGAACTCAGTTAGGAGACCCCACACCTCCCCTTTGTCTACACTCAGGCCCCAGGGAACTTCACCCAAGTTCTGGTCTTTAGAAGCCATGTATGTCCTCATGACTCCCCACTGGTTCGACTGGCCCAAAACAAACCCCTGACTCCCACCTCACACTTCCCACAGCCTTCTCCACCTGCAGTGCTATCCTTCCAACTGCTCTAACCACCTTCAGATCTTTCTCCCATACCTCACATCCAATTCATCAACAAATCCCATTGGTTCTACCTTCAAGACATACCAAGAACCGCCGAAACCGGTTTGGCTCAGTGGATAGAGCGTCGGCTTGTGGACTGAAAGGTCCCAGGTTCGATTCCGGTCAAGGGCATGTACCTGGGTTGTGGGCACATCCCCAGTAGGAGATGTGCAGGAGGCAGTTGATCGATGTTTCTCTCTCATCGATGTTTCTAACTCTCTACCTCTCTCTCTTCCTCTCTGTAAAAAATCAATAAAATATATTTTTTTAAAAAAGACATACCCAGAACCCACCACATCTCATCACGCCACAGCTCTGCCGAGTCCATGTCCATCGTTTCCAGCAATAACCAAAGAGCCCTCACCCACAGGCTCTTCACAACGCAGCAGACAGAATGATGCTGAAAACATTTAGATCAGGTCAATGTTCTTCTGAAAATACGTCAAAGGCTTCCTGTCTCACCCAGAATGAAAACTAAAGCCCTCAGCATGTCCCCCATGGTCCCATCCCCATTCCGACCTCTCACACACCACGCTCGGCCTCAGATCTTAAATCTGGGGGGAGGAAGCTAACGCTCAGATCCATGAATATTGTCCAAGCTATGGAAAAGCAGTTTTAAATTTTAACGAAGTCTGACTTGTCAATTTCTTTTATGGATTGTGCTTTTGATGTATCTAAAAAGTCATTGCCCAACTCACGTTCATTTAGATTTTCTCTTACGTTATCTTCTACAAGTTCTATGGTTTTGTATTTTATATTTAGATCTATGATCCATTCTGAAATAATTTTTGTGAAGGGTGTAAGGTCTGTGTCTAGAATTTTTTTTTTTTTTTTGCATGTGGATGTCCTGTTATTCCAGCACCATTTGTTGAAAAGACTTTGTCGTTTTTTTACGGGGAGGAGTCTGCAACCGATTTGTTGCCCCCCTACGAGCCCCGGACAGGGAGGAGCCTGCAACCGAGGTAGGTGCCCTGACCAGAATCGAACCTGGGACCCTTCAGTCCGAGGGTCCACGCTCTATCCACTGAGCCAAACCCGTCAGGGCAGGATAAAGGTTTGATTTTGGCCACATCCCTAGGGAAGAACCCACGTCCACGCCCCACAGACCCAGGTGAGCTTAGGTCTATTGTCCATCCAGGTTACCCCGAAGTCGCACCTCTGTGGGGGTGCAGGAGGAGAAAGCCCTCCCCCTGTGGGTGTTCTGGCCAGGCCCGGTTTGGAGTCAGCACTGACTGGGAGGCATCCCGTCGGCTCTGCTTCTTCCTTGGGTGTGACCTTCGAGCAAAGCATTTTCTGCTCTCCGAGTCTAGGTTTCTTTCCTCCGCGAAAGATGGAGACTGAACAATGACCTGAACTGTGTCTCCTCTTGCTGAGAAGCTGTGTTCGTCTTGTCTGGTGTCATTCCTCTTGGGGTGTGTGTGTGGTGAGTGTGTGTGGCGTGTGTGTGTGGTGAGTGTGTGTGGCGTGTGTGTGTGGTGAGTGTGTGTGGCGTGTGTGTGTGGTGAGTGTGTGTGGCGTGTGTGTGTGGTGAGTGTGTGTGGCGTGTGTGTGTGGTGAGTGTGTGTGGCGTGTGTGTGTGGTGAGTGTGTGTGGCGTGTGTGTGTGGTGAGTGTGTGTGGCGTGTGTGTGTGGTGAGTGTGTGTGGCGTGTGTGTGTGGTGAGTGTGTGTGGCGTGTGTGTGTGGTGAGTGTGTGTGGCGTGTGTGTGTGGTGAGTGTGTGTGGCGTGTGTGTGTGGTGAGTGTGTGTGGCGTGTGTGTGTGGTGAGTGTGTGTGGCGTGTGTGTGTGGTGAGTGTGTGTGGCGTGTGTGTGTGGTGAGTGTGTGTGGCGTGTGTGTGTGGTGAGTGTGTGTGGCGTGTGTGTGTGGTGAGTGTGTGTGGCGTGTGTGTGTGGTGAGTGTGTGTGGCGTGTGTGTGTGGTGAGTGTGTGTGGCGTGTGTGTGTGGTGAGTGTGTGTGGCGTGTGTGTGTGGTGAGTGTGTGTGGCGTGTGTGTGTGGTGAGTGTGTGTGGCGTGTGTGTGTGGTGAGTGTGTGTGGCGTGTGTGTGTGGTGAGTGTGTGTGGCGTGTGTGTGTGGTGAGTGTGTGTGGCGTGTGTGTGTGGTGAGTGTGTGTGGCGTGTGTGTGTGGTGAGTGTGTGTGGCGTGTGTGTGTGGTGAGTGTGTGTGGCGTGTGTGTGTGGTGAGTGTGTGTGGCGTGTGTGTGTGGTGAGTGTGTGTGGCGTGTGTGTGTGGTGAGTGTGTGTGGCGTGTGTGTGTGGTGAGTGTGTGTGGCGTGTGTGTGTGGTGAGTGTGTGTGGCGTGTGTGTGTGGTGAGTGTGTGTGGCGTGTGTGTGTGGTGAGTGTGTGTGGCGTGTGTGTGTGGTGAGTGTGTGTGGCGTGTGTGTGTGGTGAGTGTGTGTGGCGTGTGTGTGTGGTGAGTGTGTGTGGCGTGTGTGTGTGGTGAGTGTGTGTGGCGTGTGTGTGTGGTGAGTGTGTGTGGCGTGTGTGTGTGGTGAGTGTGTGTGGCGTGTGTGTGTGGTGAGTGTGTGTGGCGTGTGTGTGTGGTGAGTGTGTGTGGCGTGTGTGTGTGGTGAGTGTGTGTGGCGTGTGTGTGTGGTGAGTGTGTGTGGCGTGTGTGTGTGGTGAGTGTGTGTGGCGTGTGTGTGTGGTGAGTGTGTGTGGCGTGTGTGTGTGGTGAGTGTGTGTGGCGTGTGTGTGTGGTGAGTGTGTGTGGCGTGTGTGTGTGGTGAGTGTGTGTGGCGTGTGTGTGTGGTGAGTGTGTGTGGCGTGTGTGTGTGGTGAGTGTGTGTGGCGTGTGTGTGTGGTGAGTGTGTGTGGCGTGTGTGTGTGGTGAGTGTGTGTGGCGTGTGTGTGTGGTGAGTGTGTGTGGCGTGTGTGTGTGGTGAGTGTGTGTGGCGTGTGTGTGTGGTGAGTGTGTGTGGCGTGTGTGTGTGGTGAGTGTGTGTGGCGTGTGTGTGTGGTGAGTGTGTGTGGCGTGTGTGTGTGGTGAGTGTGTGTGGCGTGTGTGTGTGGTGAGTGTGTGTGGCGTGTGTGTGTGGTGAGTGTGTGTGGCGTGTGTGTGTGGTGAGTGTGTGTGGCGTGTGTGTGTGGTGAGTGTGTGTGGCGTGTGTGTGTGGTGAGTGTGTGTGGCGTGTGTGTGTGGTGAGTGTGTGTGGCGTGTGTGTGTGGTGAGTGTGTGTGGCGTGTGTGTGTGGTGAGTGTGTGTGGCGTGTGTGTGTGGTGAGTGTGTGTGGCGTGTGTGTGTGGTGAGTGTGTGTGGCGTGTGTGTGTGGTGAGTGTGTGTGGCGTGTGTGTGTGGTGAGTGTGTGTGGCGTGTGTGTGTGGTGAGTGTGTGTGGCGTGTGTGTGTGGTGAGTGTGTGTGGCGTGTGTGTGTGGTGAGTGTGTGTGGCGTGTGTGTGTGGTGAGTGTGTGTGGCGTGTGTGTGTGGTGAGTGTGTGTGGCGTGTGTGTGTGGTGAGTGTGTGTGGCGTGTGTGTGTGGTGAGTGTGTGTGGCGTGTGGGGTGGGTGTGTGTGTGTTGGAGCCTTTCCGCTTCTTGCGGGACACACAGGCCTGCACCAGCCCCCGATCGCCTGCAGGAGGCGCTGCAGACACGCCCGGGAGGAAGGGAGTCCTCCGTCCCGGTGGCAAGGCCCAGGCCGCCGCCGCAGCTTCTGGGATGGGCTTTCGGGGAGGATGGAGCGCAGGAAAACGGGTTGGAAGGAGGAGGTGCGGAGGACAGAAAAGGGAGAGCTAATTAAGAGAAGGGGCCGCCCGAGAGAGGACTCCACCGGGTCACACCGCACCCCCGTTCCCCGCTGGCGGGACGATACCTTAAAACATGAGGATAAAAATTTAAGACAAA